TTGTATCTGTGTATTCAAAGTGGTTAGGATAGATATATAGTTACATTCTCTTAATGAATAGAGGGATTTGTTCTAATGGTGTTTGTAAATAGGATGTCATGTCTGCATCCTGTACAGCAATTATCCACTAGGAAGAATGCATGCAATGTGTTATTATTGAAACTCTCCTACCAATTTGATTTGAAACTGTCTCATTGCTATTTATCAATAAAATTATGAGAAAAAAATAAATAAAAGTAAGGAAACCACCATACAGCCAGACAGGACTGAGAAACAAGACCTGCCAGGTGGTGGTACAGACTTCAGCTAAGTGTGGCACTGTCGCCATGCACATTGTCCCTGTCCCCTCCACTGCATGTCCTTTTCCAGGGCAGCCCTGGGCTTACCGGTACTTGAGCTCCTCGCTGGCCAGGGAGAAGTGCTCGTACAGTGAGTGCGCTTCGCTGCCCTCCCAGTCCTGCAGGTGGATCCTGAGCATGTAGCGCTTCAGAGTTGTCAGCTGGGAGACGAGCTCATTCCCCAGCCAGTGCTCTCCTGCAGGGTTCCCAAAGCCCTGGAACCCACGTCGGGAAACTCAGGTTACTTATTTGTGTTTTCTTGATGTATGTGAAACCTACCTGCGGCTCCTCAGCGTGCCATGGACTAACTGCCCGCCAGTCGGCAAGAGGCCCGCAGTACAGGGCAAGTGCAGGGGCTTCCACAGGAAACCCTGCAGAGATTGGTGTTAAGAACCTGGGGTTCCTGGGGAAGACCTCGTGTTAGAGGGACGTGGCTCCTGGGAGTGGGGCACCCAGCCTGCCAGTCTTGGACACCCCCCTGTGTTCTTCCATGGGGACACTCAGCAGGACATGCCCCAAGAAACAAGGTCAGAAGTCACTGCCACGTTGGCTCTATGCCTAAAAGTTAGTTCTCACCATGGACGCTATTTCTTCTGAGGTAGTGTAAAGAATATTAATACCTCTTTATACTCTTTCCACGTCCTCTGAAAATCAACGCTGCCATTTTCACGGCGCTGAATCACAGTCCAGCCGCCTCCACCCGTCTCCATGTCGCAGTAGGCCTGTTAGGGAAGTGCATGCTTACTGCAGGGACAGCAGTGACAGGGCTTCACGTCAGGGAAGCTGGATAGGCACAAGTATGGGTACATGCCACACATACCACTGTGTCTGGAGCATCCAGGCCTGGCCTTCATCCAGGCCTGAACTCTACTCCCAGGCCCTCACAGTGAGTTAGAAACACTTAACAGGACTAAGGGGAGCAGTCGTATAAAGTGCCATCTTGTCACCATCTGTTTCTGGCTGAAGACCCCAACCCCAGGAATGACCCAAGTGGCACTGTTTCTGAGTAACTTGTGAATGGGATTTGCACCCCCATCCCACATCTCCAACTGTAGACAACCGCTGAATTGTGGTTGAGGCCTCGACACTTTCTCCCACCTGCCAGCACCTGGCAACCCTGCAGGCAGTTGTAGAGAGTGGGGTATTGGGGTTGCAGGGCCCCCACATTCCTGCTTCCTTTCCATGTGGTGCAGGTCTTGGGCTCTCTGCACACAGCAAGGCCGGGTCCCCTCTGAACCCTGAGCCCAGGCCTGGGACTCTCGTGAGCCAGTGCTCTGCACCCCACCCCCCCCTTGGCTGGGGGCTCCACTCCGAGCCACGAGTTCAGGCTTCTCTGCACTTTGCTCATTCCCTATGGTATTTTTCTTCCCAACTTTTTATTTTAGCCTTTAAGCAGGCTTCATGGGCTTAAACTTTGTCCAGAACACAGAATTCTTTCCTGAGCAGATAGCATGCATGCTCCATTTCAACTCACCTAGAGTTTTATTATGTAATTAAAACGCCCTGAAAATAAGGTTACATAAGTAGTTTTCAATAATGAGGTTGTAGGAGGGCAAATATTGTTTTCTAGCAAGTAAGATAATTTCCTTACACCATAGAAGGTAGGAAACACTAAAGCTAATGGTTTATGACCAATTCTAAGTGCTCTGCCTTTGTTGATCCTCCATGGTCTTTTAGAGAGCAAGGGAGACAGTTTTGGCAGGGCATGCGTAAACATGAGCAGTTCTGTGTCTGCAAGCTGGGTCGTGGGAGAAGAGCTGAGAGAGAACCAAGACAGCGCCTGGCCCTGCGCTTTCACCTCACACACGTGGACACAGGAGCCCCAGGAGCACTTGGGCTGCGGAGAGTGAACCCCAACATGTGCTCTGCGGGGACCTTGTCTAGCACCGTCTCTGTCACCCTGTTAATGTCACGGGTTCACACTGCACTCTCCCAGCACCCCGCTGTGTCAAAAAAAATAGGGACCAGGAAAGAAAAGTCTATTTACCAATAAGAAAATTCTTCCCCCATTTAAAATAGTTAGATATCTTCAATTGATCTACTAAAGGAAACCCCTTTAATATCACCCTGTATTGATATTATTTTTATTAACTATCACAGCTGTTGGGACATGTAGTTTTCCAATCCCAAATCTGAATCTTTGAAAGAAAGAAAGAAAGAAAGAAAGAAAGAAAGAAAGAAAGAAAGAAAGAAAGAAAGATTGATTTAGGAAATCTGATTAATTTGGCCAGTGACTCTGCGATTAAATGGTGTACAGAATTTGAATAATGTCTCCTTAACCCCTGTGCAGTAACTCTCCACCACATCGTGTTGCCAAAAACGGAGGAACTTGGCCCTTTTATTAACGGGCCAAAGTCCCTGAACGCAGCTCCAGCTTGAAATCGGTTCATGAGTAACACTGCTGCTTACTTGCCTGTGGTCAGCAAAACAGTTAGTGCTGCTCAATTCTCTGCCTTTTTAAAAATGTGTTCAGGACACAGGTCAAATAAGGTACACTGGTTTAAGGGTCCATGTATGCACATAGACATTAATTCTCAGCATCCAGAATGGCACACTGTGAATCAGAAGAATTGACATAGTTCTTAGGGAGCCTATCCCTATTCGAAGAATATGTGATTAAGGTAAGAATCATTCTTATGAGCTTAATAAAAATCTGCTCTCTCTTGTCCAGAGGTCAAGAGCAGGAAAGAGACTGGAATGTGGAGAGTCCCTGCCAGGCCACAGGCGACTGGAGCCTGTCCCTGTCCCTCTGACTTCATCAGTTACCATGATAAGGTTATTAGCATGTTTCTTCACACTGCATCCAGATTTTCTTTAAATGAACAGAGGATCTAAAAAGTTACAGTCACTGCTGTAAAACTTGAAGGGAGGATGTCCAACTAGAATTACCCACAGAGCCAGGAGATGGTTGGTAAAAACAATAAAACAGATGGTAAGGAGCAGAAATACTGAGAACAGCGCAGCTCAGCACCATCCTAGCACCCCGGAGGCAGGTGGTACTTCCAAGTGTCGGGATGTTGTTGGATCAGAGACCTCATCATCTTGCTAGAAAGCCTGCCGCCATCCAGCAGCAGAGCCTGATGACGTGTATCTCAGCTTGCTGAACAGCTGACCAGCGAGCAAGCACAGACATCTCGGGAACCAGGTCTCCTGGTAAATTTAGGGAAGGAAACTATCGTGCTTCTAACCAGCAAAAGCAGCCGGTCATGCTTCTGATAATTTCCTTTTGCAGAGTCTATCTTGTAAAAAAAAAAAAAAACTAGCAAATTTTTCAAAAGTAAAGTTGCAGTATTTGGGCCCTTTGAAGAAATACCTGTTCAAAGAACGATTGAACATTATTTTCTTGAATTAGATGACCCAAGGCAAAATCGAGTACACTGGTACGCTGTGTGGTCTCTGGGAGAACCCCTCCATTTTACTACAGCTCCTCTCCTCAGTGCCCATTGTCCCTTATTGGCACCACCTGCAAGGCTGGAGATGCCATCCTTGTGTGACAGACGAGGACTGAGTGCTCAGAGGGGACAGAGAGGCTCCGTGGGCAGAGCTGGAATTGAAGCCCACGTCTACCTGACTCTCTCTAGGTCATATGGTGAATTTTGGCATGTTAAGCCTGGAAGGGAATTCTGGGGCAACCTAATGTGGTTGATTTATTGTAGAGAAGAGAAAATTTGAAGTTTTAATACAGTATTGTTGCATACTATGTAGCTGAATTTCGTTTAAATGCTTAAAAGCAATATAAATCCTGTTTCCAGCCATGACGTGTGACTCGCTGAGCCTCACAGAGTGCTGGTCCTGTTCCCTTCTGCAGTGTCTCAGTCAGCCCATGCTGGCTGTGTGGCACAGGAGCCTCTCCACAGCAGTGGGACAGGGCCACACCATCAGTGCTGTCTCTGGACACTGCTGTCCCCATTGTCACTGGGCCAAGAACATGCAGTGTCCCGAGCCAGACAGCAATGTGCAAATCGCCTTCCAGTTGGGCAGATCCAAGGGGATGAAAGGCGGCTCTGGAGCCCTGGGTTGCGGTTCCGTCTGCAGCAGCCATCAGCTCCCCTGCCCCCACCCATGCTCTGCTTCTAAGCCCTAGGGACATTAACTGATTTTCAAGGTTGGTTGCAAGCAGCATGAATGAATTAGAATGATTTCTTTGGAACATTTTATCTTAAATGGCACCGCATTTATCTTTTAATCCACAATCAAAGTGTGTGTTACTGTTTCCAACTCCACATCTTTAAACTCCTAAATGGTTTTTTTTTCACTACAATGTTAAATATCAAGTTCAAAAAGATGCTATTTCCAGGAGCCTCTAACATTTCCATCCTGAGGCAGTACTTGGTGTGCTTTCTGGAGTCCTTTGTGCCAGTTAAATATGTAGCTGCTTTACATGCAACTCTCCCTACGGACAGGACATGGCGTGTGTGCGGTCACGTCACAGGTGGCTCTGTAGTGTCACTTGACCTCCACAGACCCTGTGGGCTGTGCCCTGAAGTCGCTCACAGGTGTTTGCCCCACTGGCTGTCTTAAGCTCGGGGCATGTATCACACACAGCAGTGTGGGTGAGCGCCCAGCAGGAGCCACCGCAGGGGTGCTGAGTGCTAGGTCAGAGGAGGTCATGACCTGGGTGGGGCCTCTCCCACATGACTTGCGCAGCCCTGGGCATTCCTGGACTCAGCAACCACGGGCTCTGAGGAAGACACCACCTCTACAGTGACACTAGGGTGTCCTTGGCTTCCGGTGGTATTGGCAGGTATACCCGGTGGAGCAGACTATTGACACCTGGCAGGAGGTGGGGGAGGCTGCAAACCCTGCTAGCATCCCTACACTTCGAACAAAGGAGAGTCAGGGTCGGTTAAAGAGGTGGGCCAGCCTCACTAGGGTGCCCACCCTGTCCCGAGCTCCTGAGTGCAAAGGGTCTTCCTGCCATGGCAAACAGCACGAGTTATACCACATTTCTGGTCCTGAGGGGCTGTTTCTAAGGTTCTGTCCTGAGAAGGGAAGCCTGCGTAACCACTTCTGCTACCACAGTGCCGCAGTCCTCTCCAAGAATCTCTTCAGTGTGAGTGTTCTAGGTGGGAGCCAACCAAGCCTCTTCTCCTTCCTGCAACACAGCTGTTGCTTACCTAAGTGACGCAGAGGCAAACTGCGGGGATCAGAGTTCAGCTCGGGAAGATACTGACTTCAGGGTTAATGACCGAGTCAGGCCCTTCAAGGAGCTCGCCAGACTGTGCAGCGATCAGGGTATTTTCTGGCGCAAACAAGATAGGCATTTCCCCACCCTGACACACACTGGCCACAGCACACACCATCCGTACTCCACAACTGGACCCCAAGCCTCAGGCAGAACTCACTACTCAGGGTCTCGGGGACTTCTGCTTGCAGTCCCTACCCGAAAACAACCTGCTTGGAGCCCAGGTGTCGTGCGCGCGAGCCTGGCGCCTACCTTTATCTCCTCTGTGGAGTTGGGCGCCCTGAGTGTGTAGACACGGCTGGTGGTGTGCCCGGCTTTGAACACTGCAGCACAGTCTCTGAAAACAGTCTGTTCTTCTTTAGCAGCACTGGGGTTCTTAGCTGTGTTCAAAAGAGCAGGCATTTGGATAGAGTCATGAAAAAAAGTTTATTCAAGATTCAGTCATTTGGTAAGTTTAATACGTTTGAATTCTTATAATAAGCAAAAAGATATGCCAGTATTTTTTCTTTTCCAAAAACTTATTTTTCAGCTTTTTTTGTTATGATTAATTGATTCTTACAAATAACCCACACTTTGTTTTTATCGACAGTTATGTGTAATTCGGGTACTTCACAAACAACAAAGCAAACTACTGCTTTTTAAGTTTCCCATCCTCTAGTAGGAAAACCACATGAACTTCCTATGCAGGACTAAGCAGAGCATATGCCAAAATCAGTACAGTGCCACCAGGCCTGCACGCATATGCCTTTAGGCTGTTGTCCCCTGGAGCCCTTTTTCCCTTTCTTTTATGTTTCTGAGTCAAAGGCTTTATATGTTTAGAATATGAAGGATTTTTTTTCCCCACTCAGGATGCCTTAAGGGCAGGTCTGGTAAGGCATGAGGTCTGGGGCTCAAACCGCAGAATTCTGAGCCTGACTGCTTTGCTTAAGCAGGCACTTGAACAACTGCGCTCTTGGGCAGGCCCCAAAAGTTCAGAAGGGTTTTGTCTGCTTGCTTGTTTGTTTTGTTTAGAATATGGACCTGCCTCATATTCTTGGGCCTTCTTGCCACTGTCCTGTAAGTGTGCACTTAGGAGAGCTTGATGTTTATTACCTGCGTGTTTTATTTAGCTTCCAGGGTGTTCATCCCTTCAGATCTTAGCCCTCTGTGACCATTCGGGCTTCTTCCTTCTGCCGCGTTAAAACCGCGAGGTGTCTGTGTGTGCGCACTTCCTGCCTGCCCTGCTCAGGAGCCCTGCAGAGCCTTGTGGAGCCAGGGCGCAGTGGCCACGCCAGCGAGCGCCACGCTTCCCCACCCCAGCAGGACCACGGAGAAGAAAGCTACCCCGCCGCTCCAGCCAGTGTCAGATATTTGCCTTTTCTTTTTTACACGAATGTGAGAAAAACAAACAGGGCTTTCTACTCTAGAAGGGCGAAAAACTCTCTGGACAGCCGGCGGTGCGCGCAGCACCCTGGGCCACGCACGCCACATGGAATGTGGACTGTGCCAGTGGCTGTATGTGTTGAAGAAAGTCCTTTGATGATGCTTCTGCTGGAGACATTGTCACGGGAGTGGGACCCACGTGATTTACACCAGTGATTCCCTGTGGCTCCAGGCGGAGCACCTCTGTGTCAGAGTTCTCGTTAAAAGGAACTTTGAAAGAAACCATACAAGACGTAGGCAAACTTGGTTAGGGAGAAAGCAGAAGTTCCACAGGGTCATACCACGCATTCTTACTTAGTGACTGCCTGTCCTCCCTTCCCTCCAGTGTCGAAGGGAAGCCGCAAGGTGAAGCAGCAATGAAGAAGGCGAACCGTAGCTAAGGACCTGGTGAGAGGCAGAGCAGATGCCTCTGCATGCCGCGCGCTGGGCTGTCAGCACCTTGCATTGCCACAGCCCTCCTGCATGCTCCACTAAAGCCAAAGCAAGGGCCTGCTAACGCTTAGTAATGTGCTAGTCTCCTCCAGCTGCTGAATGGGGGAGCCAGAACACAGGAGGAAGGCTCTTCTCTGCTGGAGCCAGAAGTACATCTAGCAGTTCTGCCTCGCAGAACTGAGTGGCTGTCTCCTTCCCTTTACTCCTTTCTTCCTGGTTCTAGTGGAGTGCCTAGAGCTCTCATAGAAAATATAAGAGAAATAGTACCTTTTCTGAAAAGAGAGAATTTCTTAGAATTTTGGCAGTCCATTGACAAAAGGTTATTAAAACTGAGGAAAACATAAAGTGCACTTACAGTTCGGTGATGCTATCATAGTCATTAAATTATGGACAGTCTCCATCAGGTCCCGCTGCTGCTTGTGTAGGGCTGAGCTGTTCGCGCTGGCCAACTGCTTCTGCAGCTCCTTGATCATGGTGCTTTGCTTGATCACCAGCACCTGAAGCTCCGCCTTCTCGTCTCTCATGGACTGCAGCTGCACGGCATGCTTGTCCTCCATGGCCAGCACTTTCTGCTCCAGGACACTAGGAAGGAAACGCTGGGCGGTTAGTCGAGGGAGTGCCAAGACCAGCAGCTGGCACAGCCAGTGCCCTCTGCACTGACCACTGTCGCCGCTCTGGTGCAGCTGTCTGCTCGGCCGAGGCACTCTGTTCCCATGTAATAGGAACTGTGTCGCAGCTCCAGGGAGTCTCGTGCTTGCCATGATTACACAGATGTATGGACATGATCAGACAGTCCGGGCCGTCAGGGGGGACAAGGAGGTCACAAATATTCAGTGCTATAAGAATTCAGAAGAAAGCTCTGTTCTTTCAAGTTGCAGTGCTTTGAGAAAGGAGAATTTCTGTTGGGCCTGTGTCATTTTTTGGTGGTAAAATTTTCTGAACCTTTAAACCTCACAGACAACTCCAATTAATATAATTATAATAATATAATTACTTACAATAGAAATATATATTATATAATTATTAGAAATAATATATAAGCGGGGTCCTGCCCATTAGCTCAGTTGTTTAAGTGCCTGCTAAACAAAGTGGTCAGGCTCAAGATGCTCTGCTTCGAACCCCGTTTCTCACAGGAAACCAGAAATGCCCTCAAGGAATCTTCAGGCCACCAAAAAAAAAAAAATAATAATAATATGTAAGTATATATTATATAATTATTAGTAATAATATATAAGTAATGATAACCATAATTAATAAGAACATGTCCATAACCAGAGCTAATTATCCTTATTAGAAGTTGAGCGGCAGGTCTTAAGTTTACGCCAGCTCTCAGGTCTCTGTGAGTCGCCACGATGACAAATGTGCTGGCACAGTTCAGAGTCGGTAGCCCCTGGCTGTCATTAGTTATTTTCACTGGACTTCATCAGTTTTTCCGTATCCACTTGCACCTATTGTTTCTTAATACTTTTCTTGATATTAGCTAACATTTTACAGAAGAATGATATAGCACTTTCATTAATTTATAAACCAAGATGATTTACCATAAGAAGCAGGTAATCTAAAAGTAAGTGGCTACGTTCTTTCCTGCTGTCTACTTAGTCGGTCTCATGCCTCCAGCATGCAGGCGTTGCGTTTCGGGAAGCCCTGCCAGAGGCTTGACCTGGAGGAGCCACACAGAATGCGCCTGTAAGTCACCTGTCACTGTAGCCGGCATCTGAAAGTGATGGCATTCTGAGATATGCAATCCAGCCCTCTTTTGATGTTGCTAATCATCTGCGAGGGACAGCATGGAAGGAAGGAGTAGCAGTCCCCCAGTCCAGAGTATGGGTTGGCACTCAGCGCTGTGGGGTGGAGAGTTAAGAAATGACTACTTTTGTCCCTCCTCCTGAGCCTTTACCAGTGCTGCTCCAGAGGCCGTCGTATACTGTATAGTAATGTAATCACTTGTTTTAGGGTTTAAGCCAGCCAGCATCAGCTCCTCCCAGCCCAGACTGAGAGCACGGAGCTAAGGAGTTAACAGACAGATCGCTGCGTTTTACTGCTTCCAGGGCACCTATTAGAGAGCAGCATTTCACAAAATACCTATCAGGACCCACTAGTGGCTTGTAAAATCAATGTAGTGAGTTGCAGCTAGCATTTTCTTAATGAAGTGGTAGAAGACCAGTGAAAATATAGAGTGCATTTCTGGCAGGGACTTTGCACGTGGCAACAAGGCCCATGATCAGTATTGATGAGTGCTGAAAGATGTGGGGCAGGTGTGTAGCCGACATCCTGCTCACTGGTGTCTTGCTTGATTTTCTGACATAGGATGGGCTACTAGATTGTCACCACACAGTTGGACTTCATTTGCCTTAGCATAACTCAGGGTTAATTGGGGACTGCTGGAAGAGTCCTGTTGGCAAAAACATCAAGAATCTGAATCATATTTGTTACGCTTCAGATATGGTTTGTGTCCAGCAAAAGTTCATGTGTTGGAAGCTCCTGCATGGGAACATGGGAGGTGGTGGAACCTTGAAAAGGTGGGCCCTGGGGCAGGTGCTCAGCTTGGGGGAGCTACCCTGGCAGGGATTAAAGGAGCTCTCCTGGGACACCTGAGCTCTCACTAGAGCAGTTGCTAATAAGCAGGCCCACCCTTGAGCCCTGTCTGCTCTGCCTGTGAGAGGTGACCTCTTCCTGCCACTCTGGTACCATTTGCAATTAAGCCCTCGCCTGAGGCCAAACCATTGGGGCTGCTTCCTCTTGGACTTTGAGCTTCCAAAACTGTGAGGTAAATAAATATCGGTACTTTAGAAAGTGAGTCTAGCTTAGGCATTTCATTATAGTCTCTCTCTCTTTCTCTTTCTTTCTCTCTCTCTCTGTCTCTTTCTCTCTGTGTGTCTCTGTCTCTGTCACACACACACACACACACACACACACACACACACACACACACACAGCCAGTGGTGTTTCTTTGAGTTTCACTGCATTTCTGCATAAGGGGAGGTATCTTTGGCATCGTGCACCCAGACCAGAACAGTTGGAGCTGTACACGTGGCCCTAAGTTAATCATTTATTTTTAGAAGAACAAAAGAATAGCCTGGTAAAAAATTCATTGTTTTTAGTTTCAGCTGGAGAACCTAAAAGTGTAATAATGCTAATTTTGAATGTTGCCCCAGTAAATATTATCCCTTCATTTGCACCTGTTTCTTACAGCAATTCTACTGGCAGGAATGATTGAACTAGGTTTTGTCAAATGTGGAGCGCTGTGTGCATATTTTTACAATGATGTTCTTGCAAAATATCGTAGACCAGTGAAAATTAAGGTAGAAAACACTCATTGAAGATGTAAAATTATCCATAAAATTTCATGCTTACTTTTAGAGTTAATTCATCACATATTTTCAAGAAAAGGGAAAAACGTGATTTCTGTGGCTTGCTCCTCCTTTTTGTGGAGCCTGCACCACAGAGGGCTGTGTGGGGAGTTGGTGGAGAGCAGCGGGGCCCTCTGCCCGTGTTCTGGGTACTCAGACCCTCCGCACGCGACTGCAGCCCACCGCGGGCTGGTTGTAAGTCGTACAGGGTTAGTTTTGTTAGATGTGCTTGACAAGATACTGTCATAGGGAAAGCGCCATAACAGCCGAACTCATCCTCATATAAAAATAGATTTGATATACTGTGAAAGTACATGACTGCTGCATGCAAATTAAACAAAGGGGGAAAGTGAGGATCATTTATGTAAGACCAGAAAACCACAGCAAAATACAGTCAGAATCATTCTTTTCTTATTGTAGAAGCTTGACATAAAACAAATGTCACCAGATCATGAGATGGCAGACGAACGTCGAGCAAGTGGAGACTGAATCTTTGCGCTGCTCACTCACTGTGATGCCCTCATGTAACATGAAGTCCCCCTTGTTCTGAGCGCTGAGTCTAAAGAGTAAGATGCGCACTTTCCTGTGTGAAAGTCAGTGCAGTGTGACAAACACAGTCGGTGCTCTGTCTCCACGGGTTCTACATTTGAGGATTCAGCCAATCTCGGATTGAAAATATTTGGGAAAAGGCAACTGTACTGAACATGTACAGACTTATCTTCTTGCCATCATTCCCCAAACCGGGCAATATAGCAACTATTTCATAGCATTTATGTCAGGTATTGTAAATAATCTCAAAGCAGCTTAAAACACTCCAGAAGATTATTTAGGTTTTATATAAATACAATGCTTTGTTTGTTTGTTTATAAGGGACTTGAGCACCCATAGCTGCTGCTATCCAGGGGTCCTGGGACCCGTGTCGTGTGGCTACTGAAGTACAACAGAACTTACGAAGATGGCTCGGAGGGATGTGCTTAGCACTGGTGCAGGCCTGGCATTACAGCACACTAAATGTGAAGCCTGTGGGAGAAGCCGCATCCAAGACGAGAGCGCCAGCGGGCATCACGTCCCGGGACGCTTTCCTGGGACACTTTCCCCCTTCGTTTAATTTGCATGCAACAGTCGTGTACTTTCACAGTATATCAAATCTATTTTTATATAAGGATGAGTTCGGCTGTTATGGCGCTTTCCCTATGACAGTATCTTGTCAAGCACATCTAACAAAACTAACCCCGTATGACTTACAACCAGCCCGCGGTGGACTACAGTCGCGTGCGGAGGATCTGAGTACCCAGGACAGGGGCAGAGGGCCCCGCTGCTCTCTGGGCAGCATGACCATTATACAAGCAAATCAAGAACTAGCTTGACCTGTCCCTACCATTACTGCAGAGTGAAATAGCAAATTATTGTATTTCAATTATTGACGTCAAACCTTTATTTCCTTCTGTGAGGAAGAGAAGCCTGAAACACGAAAGAAAATTATTTGAAGAAAAATCTCTTTGCTTTTCAAAACCCCAAATCCATAGTAAATTCAACTTGATCCTTAAAGAATGGAGTGAGTTACTCTGTTGTACTTTGGCTCTTGACTAACAGTAAGTATAGCTATGAGATAATGCTCATCTGCTTTAAGAGAAAGCATTGCATCATGAAATGAACACTGACTTACAAGGGTAGCTTTCCTACTGCGGACCATCTTATATCAGAAGAAGCTAAGTCTCTGCAGGTGAGGAAACTTGGCAAAGTTAGTATTAAAATGTCTAGGCCGGTGTCACTAACTTCACAGAACTAGCACTATTTTTTGTATAGATTAACATGCACAAGGCAGCTTGGAGGATTATTGTACGATGGTCTTTAAGGGACCAAAGAATGAAAAACAATATCTAGGATTATATTAGACTTCTTGGGGCCAGGGAGATGGCTCAGTAGAATAAGCACTTGCCTAACAAGCTCAAGGGCCTGAGTTCTGAGTTCCATCCCTGGTTCCACCAAAAAAAAAAAAAAAAAAAAAAATAGACTTCTTCGTTCAGGACTTTTCTACGCGTGCTCGCCCTCCACCTTCCTCCAAGGTTTCTGACGTGTATGCTGTGCCTGAAGAACTCATTATCTAGAGACCCCGCTTGCAGTTCAGTCACATGACGGGCTTTTATCTCTGGAAGGTGTACAGTTTTGAATTATGGAGATTCATACACTGCGGTTACCTGTTTTTATCTTGTAACTTGCTTATTTCACTGGTCTGATCCAAAATCTGTTTTTCCAGCTTATTTGTAGAAAGGGAATGCTCTAGAAGCTGAAGTTCAAGTCTGGTTGTTTGATTTAATACCTATATGGAACAAAATAGAATTGTAGGTTATCATTTTAATGCATTTAATTTTGTACGTTCCTTTTAATCCAGTTGCCCACATTCTGAGAAAACATAACACATGATTTATTAACTCAAGTGTCCTATTTTGGCCTGATTTTTATTTTTTAAAAAGGCTTAGACTCTTGGATAACACTTAAGGGTGGGGCTGGAGAGATGGCTCAGTGGTCTAAAGCACCTACTTAGAACAAGCTTAGCAAAGCGCAGGGACCGCTGTTCAATCCCCAGCACCACATGCCAGCC